TAAATCATACCCCATAAATATACACATAATACATAAACTCAACTTGTAAAATAAAAAATATATAAATATACAAGAGAAAAATGGGCAGAAACAATGCTCATTAGTCATTTGAAATTAATGCTTTCATATATTGATAAAGTACATTAAAAATTTAGACAAATACATAGAGAAGGAAATACAGAGTGTATAGTGCTTACATGCATGTGTATGTGTCTGTGTTGAGAAAGAGAGTCTCCACATCAATGTGAATATCTCTTAAGTACCTATAAAACATGGACAGAATTGGCTGTATATTAGATAACAATGAAAAATAAACTTCAGTATATGGAAACTATTCAGTCCATGTTCTCTAACTACATTATTAAATAAATGTTAATAAAATGTGCACAAAAAGCAGCACCTTAACAAATATACAGAAGCAATACATTTATAAAGAGAAAAAGCTACAATTATATAATTTTAGGAAAAATGATTCCATTCTACTTATCAAGCCAGTGGGAAGTAGACAAATGAATTCAGAAGCAAATGCTTTCATGAAACAAATAAGATTATATTGCAAATACTTGAATATAATCAAATAATACAATAATACAAATAATTGCAAATACTTAACTTGACGAGGTAGAAAAGACCAACAAAACAACTAAGAAATAGGATGTGAAATACTTAGGACAACAGCAAATATAATACTAAGAAAACTGAAAATATATTATCTCCATAAATAAACACAAGTCTCTCTAAAATGTAAAAGTATAGAAAACTATTCAAAGTGAAACCCATATATAAATTCTACATAGGAAAGGGCTTATAAAAACAGGCAAAATTATTTCTAAGAGAATTTGATGCTTCTTTATAAAAATGTAAACAGCAAATAACCTTTGGAGGATTAATGACTCTTTGAGAAACAGTGTTCATAATTCTACTTATACATATATAAGCTAAAGTCCCGAGATGGAATACTGACCTAATTTTCTTTTTATTTTCTCAAAATTCTTTAAGTATTGGGATTTGTTAGTTTTAGTATGAAAAGAGCAGGAATAACTTTAAAGCCTTTCGATGTGGAAATATTGAATAAATTTGGGACATAGCAAGAAAGGGCCTTGTATTAGCCAAGGTCCACTTAAATAAATAAAGCCTATGCCAAACAGTTCAACAGAGGAAACTCAATAAGGTAATTTGGATTCAAGGTGGAGGAAGAGCAGACAACTCAGAGATTAATGAAAGTGGGAAAGGTACTACCACCCCTCCCTCCCTTGCCTGCGCAGTTGCAAGGATTTTGGGGAAAACACAAAACTCCTGGCGCAAAGACAAAGGATCTTATTATTATGGCACTAGCGAGCATCATGAGTTTCATGTTCCTGTAACTTTCCCTGTCCCCCAAGTCCTGTGGGGCCAGGGGTACAGCCCAGGTGGATGCTGCATGTTGCCACAGCTGAGGAACGTGAATTGAGGGAACGTCTGATCTTATAATGTGGCTGCTAGCAGAGCTGCCCAGCCTTTGCCCCGGACGTAGACATTTTCTGTATTGTCCTGATCAAGAAACAAATCTTCCCTGGGGAAGATACTGTATCTTCTGAGCCTGTTTGCCACACAAACTTACTTGAAAAGATAGTAAGGAGCCAAAGTTCTCACAAGAAATGCAAAACCAGAGTAACTAGGGGAAATTGTTTCCTAAAAGACCCTTCCACCAAATGTGTTCAAAAGAGTCTTCCAAAGTTT